GGAGGACGAATGCAATCCGTGTAATGCTTAGGTCTACCATAGCTAGTACAATGTTAGCTTTGAGAACTGTCCCTTCACTCACCAGGCCCGGGCCACCGCCTCATTGTCCAGTATCTACCAACGCATGAACACCTGTGCTGAAACAAACCAGGTGCACAAGTGTGTCTCGTATGCTCAAGGCCCGCTCAGTCTGTGAATTTGACGAACTACGTCGCACCCTGTAACCAAACTGGTCGAGTTTCATTATTCTACTGATGAGCATTATACATTGTTGCGCAAACACGTGAGGTCATGGAAACTCGAGGGTATATTGCGCCGCCGTGCAAGCTTGCCGCAAGTCTTGCCCGGTATTGTGAGTATTGCACGGACAGGCCCTCTTGGCTACCATATCGGGTGCTCGCACCGTCTCGCGCCCTAATCGGCGCTTAAGGCGCCACCTCCAATCCTGGACAACATTTTTACACTTTTGCTGATGTCGCTGCCCATAAGAGCGCTCCGCTCATACTGGACCTTAGGGTCTGAGATGCATGGGGAGATTCATATCTACGGACTCCATAAAAGCCAAAATTGACTTAACGTGGTCGACAACGCTGGTGCGCGTGCGGGAAACCGAGAACGCAAGGCGCTCGCGCATGACCCGGGTGTTGTGGCGGTATATCGGCGTCTCGGGGGCAGCTTCGATCGGATCCCAGTCGGACACGTCGGAAAGCCGGTCGCTGCTGCACTCGGACGGAGTGTAGTCTTCGTCCTCCTCCTCGTCTTTGAAAAGAGCTCCCCATCCATTGTGGAGCTCATCGGGTTCTGCCTCGGGTCCGCGAGGGTCCATAGGCGCGCACTAGAAGAGTTCCTCTGTCTTGCCCATACGAGAGACAGAGGATAACAGACAAATTGAGTATGGGGGACATATAGCAACTGCTCGTGAGAGTCAGAGAGATGTACCGGTTACGGGAGTATCTACGTCGAGCAGACGGTAGGCTCGGCGCAGCTCAAAGACGTCGCGAGATAAGCAGGCAGGCGCGCGCGACAAGACAGCTCGGACACGTCGGGAGAGAGGCAGGAAAGTCACACAGGTCACCGAGCGGGGAGTCACGGGGGTGGATCCACCAGACGTTCAGGAGCGCGGAAAGTCCCGGTTTTTTCATTTCCGCTCAAAGCTCCGAACGTCTGGTCACGAGACTAGTAGAAGTGCAGATCGTGCTCGAAAGAACGTTCCAACGGCGCCCACGGACCGCTCAGCACTGGTCGGTTTCAGGCGAGAGCACACAGCCGGCGGTATCAGTATGGGTCTTGTTCAACCCCGCTAGGGAAGCTTGGGGAGCACCGGCCTCAACTAGTATGTTTCGTGGTGCTCCACACTCTTAGCCAGAGAACCCTCATACCGCCCCAAAATCTCTACGCCTTTTTCATGAACGGACGTGGTGATGCCAACAGCACAAAGCTCGACGACTTCTGGATGATATGGGACACAGATCAAGATGTGTTCGCGGCGTTAGCGCAGACGGAAGGTGCCGCACGGAGCGGAGGTATGCCTCACGTCACTGGTGTTCGAGTTCTGTCCCTTCTTACAGTTGCCGCCTCAACTTCATTCACCCGGGACACGTTCCTTGACCGTAAAGTTGCCGCGCTCACCTTATTGGCATGGGATGTGTTGACAAGCCTGGATGAGGAGGTACGCTCCCATCTTGGAATCAGACGCGTGATTTTGACTGACAGGGAACTGTCAAGATTAGGTTGATATGGCGGTGAGTGCAGCGTTCCCAGCCCAAGCATCCCTCCTCATGTGCCGGTTTGTTGCTCTAGATCACAATGGACCCTGCCCAAGGCGCTCTATCTCTTTGTGCGGTACTTCTCGTTATTCACGTTGATGTGCGTGTCGGATCCGAAGGGAGAACGAGAAGCTTCGCTGACGCGCAAGGCAACCTCTGCATGTCAGCCTTCACAACATCCGTAACATCCTTCCATGTATGCCATGGTTAGTCTTTGAGATCCTCGCCACAATGCTAGTAGAGTTTGCGGCGGAGGTGATCATCATCCTTCGAGGTACGTCACCTACTTGACCACCGAGGGCTAAACGCCGTACTTTTGCACGCCACACAATCTCGGCTCGATCTCACCACATCTCTATCACATTCCAGTATATGCCATTTATGCGACGAAGATGCGTGTCTTGCGTGTCATGCTAGGGGGCTTTGCCCTCCAAGTCGTTCTCATGGGCGTCAGCCTTGGCGTGAGTATGCCGAAGATCATGGCCGGCTTCTACTGCAAGGCGGCAGACCTTCCCCCGGAGATGGTGCTGTACAGGTAAGCTCCTGCAGCAATTCGTCCACCGTCATCCGTCTCACGCATGATGTCTTCATTCCCATATCGCAGTACAGCCTCGATAGTCTACGAGACGTTCCTATTCGGTCTGATGATGATCGGAGTGGCGAAGAGCGGGAAGCGGGACAGCTTTTCTGACACGACCCTCGTAACGGTACTCGTGCGCGACGGGACAATCGCATATCTAGGCATTTTCTGTGCGTGAATCTTGGTTACAAGCTGTTAATGGCCCTTTCTGATTGAGCCGACAGTGGTGATGCTACTGAACACAATATTGTTCACCATGGCACCGACCACGCTCGTGCTGCTGGGCTTCCCGTGAGTGCCTGAATTGAGATGCATCTTAAGTGCTCGATCTGACAACAATGATCAGATGGGTTCTCTCGATCGTTGGCGTTGCGGTGAGTTGTCGGAACCCTGTCAAACGCGCGTTGTACCCTGTCGAGCGCGCCGATACTCACATTCCGATCCTCAGGGCTCGCGTCTGATCCTCAATCTGCGAGCAAAGCACGCAACAAATCTCAGCAGCCCTACATCCTTCGCAGACATCAGCTTCTCCTTTCCTACACATATCTATTCTGCCGTATACATCGAGGATCCCGAACCTACCGACTTCATGGAGGACGACGATACCGATACCGACAGAGAGGACGCCGCACTGAACCCTTCGCGAACAAACACAATGAGTAGTCAACGGCATAGCTCACGGAGTAATACCATGAGCAGCCAGCGTCATTCCGTCCTCCTTGCTCATACTCGCAATCTTAGCGACGTGGAGTCTTTGTCGCCACCGTCGCCACTTTCGCCCGAGACGAGACTGCCGTCATAGGATCGATTCTTCTTGTCTCGGACTCAGTAGCCTGTAGACTCATCACGGACATTGCAGCGGCTTGCTCTGTACTCAACCCATGCCTTCATACGTTCCCTTCGCATTGTCTATCCTAATCACATGTACTTTGATGTATTAGTACCCTGAAAGCTAAACCGAGAATGATCGGAACTAGCCTGGATACATCGATTTTGCTGCACATGCTATACCGTGCCGTTCACGTGCTGTCGATTGCCGGATCTTAGATCGTTAAGCGGACAGGGAAGCAGAAGCGTTTGTGGTAGTCTCCTTCTCTCAAACCACAAAGCCTCATACCAGACAACTACCATGAGCTCCGGTCATCACGACGTTGTCATGATCAATGGCCTACCCCACGAACTTTTGATTGAGATCCTCGACTTCGTCTACTCCTCGTTGACCCCACATCGGCGCTACATCGATCGCGACAACATGGGACCAAGACAGCCAGTATTATGGATGCGTATCAACCACGTCTGTATGCACTGGCGTAAGATCGTTTGCACAACACCTACGCTTTGGCGTGATATCCACGTCTACTGTCGACCCGAGTGGCTCAAGTTGTGCCTGTCCCGAATTACGAGCAAGCCTTGTCCGGGCTTGATCAACCTCTACTTCCACGACCTATCATTTCAATTGCCTCAACTCTTCACTTACCTGGAGCCTCAACAGGTGACCTCCCTCGGGGCGATCACCTTCTACGCGGACCTGGCGTGGATGGACATGTTCTCGCCCCTGTTCTCCTTGCCCATTCCCAACCTCATTGCTTTATCCATTTACACGAGCCATAGCTGGTGGCCGTGGCCCTCGAGACTTGACAAAGCCGCTGCATTTCCTTTGACAGCATATGCCCTACCGCGCCTCGAAGAGCTCACACTGAGTAGGATCCATCCGCCCACCGATGTCGCACTTTTCTCTCATATGCGGATACTCGATCTTTCGAGCTCGCTGTGGAAGACCTCCTTCCCTAAACTCTTGGACATCATGGCGGAATGTACCCTACTGGAACAACTCAAGCTGCATAATGTACTCGCAGGCGTAACGGAGGTCCCTACACCGGCTTCAGGTTCCCCCAGCCGCTCTCTCATCACGCTTCCCCACCTCCACACGCTCATCATCACCCACGCGCCATCACTGGATATCTGTGCCCAAATTCTCTCCCACCTCCTCCTTCCGGCCGCGACGCACATTGAAGTGGCGGTAGATGTCATGGCACTCGGTCACAGCGAACTCCACAACTTCCCTATCACCTTTGCTGCGCTTCTCCCGCCTTCCGTATCCGTTCACATCCCCTCACTTTCCCGCATCGGCGCGGTGGAATATGTGGCATATGGTGACAGCTACTCACTTGTCGGGAAAGAGAGCATTTACGATGCTCTCGGCATCGTGCACCTCTCACTATGCGGTGGTACGCATCGTGTCGTGCCCGATGGCCTGCCAGTGGACCTGGGCTGGGGTGTCTCAACAGAGATTGGCCTTCGAGATCTCATCCGAGTCATTCCCGGGACGAACGTCGAGAGCTTGGAGCTCATCGTGAACTTCGATGCCCTGAGCCGCCAGAGCCTCGTCGCCGCGCTGGGAGCATTCCCGAAGCTCGAAACCTTGTCCCTGATTGGCATGGGCGGCGTCGACGCGATCTGGGATTCGCTCACACCCGCGAGCGAGGACGCGGAGGTGGTTTGTCCGCAGCTATCGAATATCTCCGTTAGAGGGGGCGACGACAACAGTTTCTATGCATCTACGAGCTTCTTGGACGATGTCGTTCGCGCTCTCGAAGCGCGCGCCATGCGTGGATGTGTCCTCAGCTTTCTTCAGCTGTATATGTGCCATTCGTCAGCCGCGCAGTACGCCACGTTCGAGGCTGCATACGGCCCGCGCTTGAGGAGTCTGGTCGAAGTGGTCCGGTACAATCCTCTGAATGTGGATGAGAGCTACGAGGTATAGGGAGGGAAGGAAGAAGGAGAGATGCCTGGTTCTTTCGGAATTCAATGGAAATTAGCTAGATTACTATTATCCGAGGCTATCCAACTGATGATGTGCTGAGTGCTAGGCTCTAGTTCATGCGACTCTGCCTCCATTCAATAATATCTGAATATCTGAATCGACACCGACTTGACTACGACAACGCTCTAAAGCGACATGAACCACAAACATGTCAAGTATAAACCAAATATGACATCCTTCCTTAGCCCGGCAGGTTAACCGAAAGGGAAAAACAGAGGGAAAATGGACATGTCCGGGATTGAACCGGACCCCTCTCGCATGCTAAGCGAGCGTGATAACCAACTACACCACATGCCCATAAACAATTGAATGCATTATACTGACTGATTGAATGTGTATGGACGGGAGATGTGTCGTTTCTACGGACTTTGAGTTGAGAACGTCCTGCTTCACCTAAGACAAAATGTTGTACCCAAGTCAGTATGGAAGACTGTCTTATATTGGAGCATGTGTAGGAGGGCATGCCCGCCGGATTTGCTTACTCGCTCTACGTGCTCACGCGGTCCTCCACTAGTGGACCGCAGGTGAATAGGCCAAGTTAGTCGACCGCCATTACATGGTACATACGCTGTAACGTAATTTCCCAGCATGGCAACCTCTGAACCTCCCCGGGTTCTGGGAGGATGGGTGTCCTATAGATCAGTAATGCGCTCTGTATCACTCACGCTATAATCAGGTAGAGTGTTCACTTGCCTAGGTAGTAGTAGATAATCGCTGCACCAAGGTGAAGAAAGTGCACACTGGCATGGTGGCAGCGTTGCGCTTCGCAGGTGGACAACGTCAAATAACACGGTAGTTCTCCATAGATGGACAAAAGAGATTCAACCCGACGAGCTTGCGCACGCACGGTCCGTGATTCCGGCGAAGCATTCGTATGGGCGCCAAGTTCAGAAGACGTCAGACTCGGTCGTGCGCAGTCCTTACGGCCTACCTCCTCGACACACCGCTCTGCAGCTGCTTGTTGATCGTCCGTCGCAAAGACTTTCCGGGAGAGCTCACTTCAACCGGACGCACGCTCACAAGACTCCGTCTCAAGTGCAAGCAAAGTGACGGTGCCCGTCTACGCTTGTGGCCCTGCTTGTACGGCTCTCAGTATTCTGTCATGTCGTCGTCAGCCAGCGCATATGGATTTCAAACGGCTATACTTGTAGGATGCAGGTAGTGGGTCTTCATATTTTGCAACGTTGTGCGTCTCCATATAACGTCCAATCCCAAGGGGGCTCCTGTTCTACGCCTCACGACGATACCTTCTACGACACCTCTATCACGATCTCCAAGACCTCTCAGCAAAGAATACATCTGATCCTGGGACGCCTACGGTCGTCTTTGATGCCGGAGAGACCGAGCTGGAGACCCTACCAACACCCTCAAGTGCGTCAGCCATCCCCACTGCGGTGAAGAAGCGGCCATTCCACTCTGTGCTCTCCCGGGCACTGTTCTCCCTGTGTTTCTCCGAGAGCTGCACACTTTTCCTCCTTCTGATATGTCAAGCACTGGAGATATTCCACCCACGGTACGATCCATCTTCAATACAGCGCGTTGCTTGACCTCATAGTGTACTAGCGTCCGCCTATTCAATTGGGAGGTCTCGCTCTGCATTCTCATCATCGCCATCGTACTCGTAATCCCTCTATCCTATAGCCTAGTACTCAGCAACAGATCAAATACTCCAAGCGGTGAGTCCTCTACGTCTTGTTTTATTTATCAGCACCTCAAGTCCCCTTAGTCCCCTCCGCACGTCAACGAGTGTTCTCCATGAGCCTCATGCTATACCTCATCCCCAACTTCCTCTTCCTCCTCGCCCTGTCCTATGTCCCTCTACCAAGGGGCATGCCCGCGCACAACCTCATGGCATCGACTCTGTCTCGCCTTACTGTCATTGGCACCGTCATCCTTGGAGGCCTATCTGGTTTTGGAGCCATTGATACGGCTTGGGACTTCTTCCCTGTCTTCTCACGGAATCCAAGGTACGGAGCTATGCATATGAGATGTTCACAGAGCGTCGGCCGACCAACGATGAATACAGGGCACATCCAACAGAGGAGGAAGTGCGCACCGCTGAAGCCGGTCTCCGACGCATCCGGGAAGACCTCGCCAGACGTCGGAGCGACCTGCTCAACCTCGAAGTGTCGAAGGTATGCATACGTGCGCTGCTGTGTCTAGCCACATGCCCATCATTAACCGTCAGCCCAGAAACCCGACGCGCAGTCAAACTGGCTGTACCGCGCACTCCCGTCGTTCCAGAGCAGCGGTACGCGCATTCTTTAGCATGATCACCCCCGCAGAGGCCACGCGACTGACGGCGCCTTGTGCAGAGTCGTCCGCACTCGGGCAAGAGATCTCGGGGCTCGAAGCGCTGGAGTACGAGATGTCGCGCAACCTGGACGTGCTGAAACAACGCCAGGCGGACGCGAAGTTCTCCAGGACCGTCGCAGGACGCGTCTTCAACTGGGGTGGCCGCGTCTTCGCCGTCTACTGCATCTACCGCATATTCAGCGTGAGTAGATCATTCTCGCGTCGAAGCTGCTACTATAAGTCGACCGAACCCCTGCAGTCAATCATCAACCTTATCCTCCCGCGCTCTCCATCATCAGCCCCTGGGGAGGCCGGCACGACGAACGCAGACGTCGTGTCGCTCGTGCTCGCGTACATGCTCTCCGTCCTGCCGTTCGTGCACGTGCCCCCAGACAAGGTCGCGGCGATCTCGCGGCAGGTCAGCCTCGCGCTCGTCGGCGTTATCATCCTCAGCAGCATCCGGCGAGTGCTGCGCGGCGTGGCAGGGGTACGTTCGCGTTCTCTTCTTCGCTTGCGCGTCTGACTGCTCACGAGTGTGGATGGTTCGGGCGTATGTAGGTGCTGCGCGTGACAAGCCGGTCGCTCGGGGCGTCCCTCATGCTTCTCACGCTCGCGCAGGTGATGGTACGTCATCCTTCCCCCTTCCCTCCCTCGCCCTCCCCTTCCGTCCTGGGCTGTCAATCTCGACGGCGGGACGGCTTACAGCCACAGCATACATCGTATCCCAGCTCATCCCGCTGACTGCTCCGTTGCCACCCCGCAGGGCATCTACCTGCTGTCGACGCTCATCCAGCTGCGCACGTCGTTCCCGCCGCCGCCGGTGCGGCCGGACACGGAGCCGGACGAGGGGCTGCTGAACCTGTTCGCGACGCTGCCCGAGTTCCAGTTCTTTGGGTCGCTCTTCGACGGCGCGTTCTTGCTCGCGGCAGGCGGGAGCGCGGCGGTGCGGTGGTTTGGGGACAGGGTGAATGCGTAGACGGGTCAGAAAAGGAGCGGGGTACGCACATTGCGGATGTATTACAGAACACCTGACGGGCAGGATATGTGCGGGGGAACGGGCTGGTCGAGGAGCTACATATGGATGCGCGCCCTGGAGCATGCTGAGATCGAGTGAGAGGGTGGCGATCGTATAGGCGTTCGGTGTTCTCGGCCTTCCTTGCACTCTCTGTATTGCTGCTGCTGCTAAGAGCGGCACACATAGCCTCGGCACGCACCCTTCGCGCGGCCAGGCAACAGGATGGATCCGCCGCGCTTATCCCCATCGCCCAACAAATCAGCCATGAAGTTTTAACGGAGTTCCAATATCTGCCCTGCTGATTCGGCAACCGGGAAGGCTTCCAGCTTCGAGAGAACAGTCACCGTCAGAACTGCCTGTTTTGGCAACGCAACAAGGCAGAGGGTTTAAGGAACGGACAGTTACAGCCTTAGCGCCTTGCTCTTTGCTTCTTGCCCTTATCGACGCCTGCGGTGCTTGGAGCTTTCCCATCAGTGCTACGTATCCTGCGATTGCAACATTCTACTAACTTTCTGCTGCGCTAGCTGTAGGTCTTGTTCGAAGTAGACTTAACAATTGTATAATCTGTTCAGTGGATGACGTACGTAGTACAAGGCTAATATCCTCCTGGAGAGCAAGTGCCTGCTACGACTCATGCCAGGACGTGCAGAGTACATCCGTTGATAGTGTAGGCTCGGAGATGACTGGAGTACATATTACCTGTGTGGTTATTTGAGTCGTCACCACAAGCTGGAGAACACCGCTGACCACCTGGAGGACGATGGCAGCCATTACGTGCCGCGGAGAAGCCTGTCTATGAGCTGCCGTGGACGGCCTGCCTTCCGTGACCCACACGGATCTCAAAATCCAGGTACGTCAATGTCAGTGCTATCTAACTATAGGTCAAACAAAAACCGAGAATGTTCTAAGTACATGGTAGATCTTCCTTCCGTATGATTCTGAACCGCAAGCTTTCTGATGTTGACAGACACTGACATTACTGATAGGATTCAGAAGCGACCGGGGTCGCGAGAATAGGGCTGGGTAACTCGCCCGTCATTCCCGGAGAGATGCCATCATGGTGGCCATCGAAATGGACTGATCAAGGCAGAGTTGCATGGTATTCTGCATGGTCTCCCGTAAAGACTGGTGTGTCGTTGTCCTCGTCTGAGTCACTGACGAAGTCCCAGCTCCTCCGGGGGTTGCTGCGTCATGCTGGGCGTCTGGAGCTTCTACGTCGCTAGTTGTGTCCAGCAGAGGATCGGTGATTTCTGAGCTCGACGTGGGGGCAGTAGTGAACCTCTCGCGCCGAAGGTTGCTGAGTAGCCTGACTAGGTCGGCGAGTGTTCTGCCCATCGACCGCACGGTGCCGGCAGAGGAGGAAACTGAGACGATGAGTAGGAAGACAGCTGGCGAAGGAGAACAACGATTCGGTTAATCAATTTAAATGAATAATCAGACAGGCACAGTGTACATACACATTCCCACCACGGCTTTGTAGTACACATCGGGCTCTCCACAAGATGGCAGATCACTCGGCGTGGGGGCCGACATGGGGGCAGCTCCAGGTACACTGGGCATGATATAAGTAGTGTCGGTAATGCCAAGGAGAAATTGCAACGTCGTTGCAGAGGGTAGAGTGTATGCAAAGTAAGCTCACGACTCAAGTGAGGACTCGGCTTCTAGTATGAGGTATACTTATATATCGCACCGTCAGGCCTTTCAATCAGCGTACCGTTACGCTGGCTGATATAATCATCCTGCCGTCGCTTCTATTGTCAACCGACGTAACCGACGTAACTTCATACTGGTACCGCTTCTACCGGTCAACCGACGCTGCAAAAACATCAGGCGTGTTCAATTAGGCGTGTTCAATTCTTGTCGCTCGCTCATTTCCTCGCGCGCCTACCGGGCGTCGGCCTACCTGGATTCAAGGTCAGATCAAGCGCCTGTAGCACGGCCGCACAGGCAGCGGGTGCAGCGAGATCGACGTTTTCGTCCTATGCTAGGTTTGTTATACCCAGAAAACCTGTCCGGAGAGTGGATGGAGACATCGGGAGAGCGTTATAGACTCGTTGCTCGAGAATAATCGTACACAATGCGCCCAAATCCGAACCAGAGTCCTCACTCACGATATGCCCCTCTGCATACTGAACGGTGCCTTGAAGCCATATGGCACAGAAGTGGGCATGGAAAAACAAACAGATCCTCTCTATTAGGAGAGCTACGGCGGGTTGGTGATCGAAAAATACACATTGGGGTAGTACTAGCAGGTCCATGTCCGTACGGAACAGAAGGTAGTATACGTATGTTGCGCAAATTGTCCTGCAGAAGTCATTACAATATGGGCCTCCTTGAGCATGTTGTGATACTACATCTATAACAGGATCCAAGAGACAGCAGCCAGCACAGTCGCGCCTGCGACAGCGACATAAGCGTTCGCACCCAGCGTAGCCGCCTTGTTTCCGCTCTGGGCGCCGGCCGGGCTGGTGGCGCTGGGCTCCGAGGTCGCATCAGTCGCAGACTCGGTGACGAGGACCGTAGACCCCCCGGATACAGAGGGTACGAGGACGCCGTCGGTGAGCGAGAACACCTTGACGTAGTTGATAGAGAAGTACGCATCCGCGTAGTTGGACCCGTTGTTGATCACGTTGTCGATGTAGCAGGCAGTGGCGGAGCCGTCGCCGCCGCACGTCGACTCGTACACGCTCGCACCGCCGGCCCTAGGAGCACGTCAGTCGCAATACGAGATGATGGATGAGAGGAGAGCGCGTACCAGTCGCCGCACAGGGTGATGTCAAGGACGAGTTGTTGGGGCGTGAAGAACTCGGTGATATTGCAGGACGAGGACGGATATGCCGCGGAGGGGGTGCCCCATGAAGAGGTGTCGATGCTGTTGTTTGCGCCTGACACAGAACTCGGAACGCTCGCCCTCTAGAGTATCATGAGTGTGCAGCCCTCGGCATAGAATCATACGGATGAAACATACAGTCCAGAACCAGATACTGTGCATAGCACGTTAGCTGCCTACCCTGAGCGACCTCATGTCACGAATAGTACGCACAAGATGCCAGACGAGTCGAGCTGCGCCGCCCACACTCCCCCACCAGCATTCGCGAAGTTGTCCCCATAGCTATTCGACTGGTTCTCTGCTACGGTGCACCCCGCGTCCTGCGTACAATTTGTGCTCCCCGTAGTGCCGCTCTGCGTGACGCTCGAAGGCTGCGTGCAACCGTCCTGGGTGTGCAGTGCCATCTGGTTGTACGTCATAAGATTGACGGCCTCGATGATGTCGATCTCGCCGCCGATGGGCCAGTTCTGGCCTTTCGTCCAGAATGACGGCCATACCTGTTAGCGTTGAACGCCACACGTGAGGCTGTGCACTTGCAGACGAGCGACTGATTGACGTACCGAGCACCCGTACGGCAGGTGATTCGCGTCGAACACGAACACTGACCCCACCGGAAAGTAGTCCGTGGAGGTGATCCTAACCTGCGGAATATCGTTCGCGGATTAGTTCAACACGTTCCTGTCCCTGCTGCGAAACGCCGACAACGGGCACGGGTGCCTCCCGACAATTGGGGAGGCTGCGGTGACGCAGTTGGGCGTCCACAGGAGAAGTTCAGATCACGGACTCACCGAGTCTCGCTTATAGTTGTACGGCACGAAGGTCGTGTTGTCCACCTTAATTACCGCGTGTCCGGCGTCGTCGACGTACGCTAACTTCGACTGCGTCGCGTTTGCCTGGGTCACCCAGGTAACGTCGCCTACATAGCGGACGCTTCGTATCTGGCTGTCGCTGCGGGCGAAATGCAGGAAGACGTACCATTCGTCAAGTTGTCGTAATTGCCGTAGAAGTCCCACCCGGTGAAGAAGCTCGACCCAGAGTACTCACGTACGAGACTATACGTTGCGAGCGCCCCAGGCGCAAAACTTAGCAAAGCAGCTGCGAGTGCGGTGGCAGGACGCATTCTGAGATGCAAACAGAAGAGGTTCGGCAAGTTGTAGGCTCGTTCTATGGGATCGCCTGCTCCAGAGGCTGACCACTCTTCACTGGCTTTAATCGATGCTATGCAAGAAAGCAAGGGCGTGCGAGAGCGTAGCAGATCGTGCGTAGTTCGTCGACGTTCGTCAAGCGGAATGTAGTGTTGGTGACAAGAGCGAGAGTGGGCAGGAGGGAGTAAGATGCGTTCGGGAGGCTGACAATCGCGACTAAGACGACTATATATATATACCGAGCGCAGACTGGCAGGCCAAACTAGCGTCAGGTCGGACAGTCTAGCCGCAGCGGCAGAACAGGAGCATGTCGATATATATGGGCGAGCCGTGCTCACTCAAACGAGTCAAGCACACGAGGAACAAATAAGTGAGAAGGTCGGACGAGTGTCCCAAGCACGTGTAAGAGCCCGATGACGCAGAGGGCATTTCCAGAACGCAATCTGCCTTCGTGGGCGCTTGTATCCTCGGTCCTGGACTCCTGGGCGCATTGCTTGCTGCACGACGCGACGCGGCAGACGTTCCTCGTGCGTCCACCAAGAGCTCGCCGACCACGAGTGCCTCTTGACGAAGTCCGTTGCTCTTCCATGCTCTCCAACGCTCCTATTCTCCCCCCTGTCACTTACCCGACGCACGCACCGCTCAAAAGCGCTCGTCCTGCCTCCTGCGCCGCAGCTAGCTCCTTGACGTTATCCTCACCCGATCTCTCCGGCGGCCGGTGTACTTGGGCAGCGGGTTTGACGGCCTGGAACCACGAGTTGTGTCGGGAAAGGCAGGATGCTCGACGAGAGGAACGGCATGGCTGCTGTGAGGTCCGGATGAGAGGGCCGTGAGTGGCCCGTGCGCAGGCGATGGTCCTGTTTTGGCGGCTTTTGCTATATTTGTGGCGCTTTCTCACGTGCAGAGTATATATACGTCCTCGTGACCAGGACGTGACCTCGTTTCCCTCCCCCGTGATCAACTCGCCCCGATACTCGAGCTCACCGCGTCCCCCAACGAGCAGAGGAGCTTCCTCGCTCTTTAAGACGACGAACGCAATACATCTTTGCTTAGGGGGCTATTACACGCTTATCCCTGGAGGTCCGACGCAATCAGCGCAAGCCCGACCTTGAGAACCCACGGCCCGATATCCTAACACCATCCCGGAAGCGATGGCATCTACACAGCCCGCCCACGACCCCGCCCTCCAGTACGTGCCTTCTGCTCCCGCCGCCAACCAGCCAGCATCTGGCGGCCAGCCTGCGGCCCCCGGGACTGCGCAGCCCAGTCTCCCTGGCAATGTACTCGCAGGCATGAACCCCGAGCAGCTTGCTGCAATCCTCAAGCACATCCCGGACCTTTTGAACAGGGTACGTCCCTCCCGTTTTCTCATTCATCGCGCTGCATCCCGCCCCGCATCGTGCCTCGCAAGTCCGCCTTCGGTCGCGCGCGGATGCGTCGGGCACGCGCTCCACGTGATCGAGGGCATCGGTCACGTTCGTCGCAGTGATCGCGAGTACGGGACGGATATAGGCATCTGCCAGGGCACGGTTGACTTTGGGCTGGCTTCTGTTCTGCGGTCAAAGTGGCCGGAAGCAGGACCGTCATGACCTCAACGCTTCTCTCCCCTTACCGCGACACTGCAATGCCGCGGAGGCTATCAGGCCCATCGGCGTCATTTGGTCGCGCACCTGGTACCTGTGCTATCCTCGGACGCCGGTAGCTTTACGCACTTTATCGGACCTGCACATGTCCGCCGTTCCGCTGCGCCTTGGCATCTGCATCCTTTCATTTGACTCGAGTCCTAACGGCGGTGTTTCTGTCAGGGCGACCTCAAAGACTCTGCTGCGGCCGAGGCGCTCTCTCATCTCTCCCAGGGGGCTTTTGTCCCTGCGGCACCCACGGGCCAGTTCCCTCATGGCATACTACCCAACCAACAATCGCTGCCGCCCATGTCCGGCGAACCTGGCCCGTCGTCCCATCCGCGCGGCCCCCCCAACCTCGGCCAGCTCTCTGCCGTCGCATCCGCACTGCAGGCAACCGCGCACCAGGCTACGTCGGCGCCTCCACCGCAATCGGACGCGGAGAGCCCGGGCGGCGGCGGTGGTGAAGGCAGCAGTGGGGAGGGGGACAGGCCTTCTTCACAGTCGAAGTCGAGCGGCCGACGCGGCGGCCGGAGTGCGACGATGACGAACGACGAGTGGGCTCGTATCAGAAAAGATAACCATGTACGTCTCTTCTTTGGTTACCTTGCCCCCTTCATATCTTGGAGAGGTGCGGCCATTGCCACGCCTTCTTCATCCTCGTGCAACTATCCCCGTCTCCTGGGTTCTTTCATCTCAACCCATCTATGCCCCCTTTGCGTGTTATGGATGTCGTCTCCTTACCCACGCTAACGTCAACTCCCTGTCCGCTCACCAGAAAGAAGTCGAGCGCCGACGACGTGGAAACATCAACGAGGGCATCAATGAGCTCGGGCGGATCGTGCCGAACGGGTCGGGCGAGAAGGCCAAGGGCGCGATCCTCTCGCGCGCGGTGCAGTACATCCACCACCTCAAGGAGAACGAGGCGCGCAACATCGAGAAGTGGACGCTTGAGAAGCTGCTCATGGACCAGGCGATGGGCGACCTGCAGGCGCAGCTCGAGGAGATGCGCCGGATGTGGGACGAGGAGCGCGTCGCGCGCCAGCGCGCGGAGGCCGAGCTTGAGCTCCTGCGGGGGCATACGGCCGGTGCGGCTGCAGCTGGGGCGGCGGGGGGTGCAGGGAGCACAGCGACGACTGCGTCGGACGCTGCTCCAAAGGGGTCGCCAAAGGAGAATGGCAAGCGCGGGCGGGAGGAAGGAGAAGACGAGAAGGGCGACGATGAGGAGGTGGACGGGGAGGAGAGGTCGAAGAAGCCACGCGTGGGGTGAGCCGCCGTGGTCGCTGCGCGTCATTAATTCAGACTAGGATGCGTCCACGTCCAAATATGCCAGCCTGCCCGCCCTGGCTTAGAGCTCGGGAGAGGGGGGCGATCCGTCGTCGTTTTCTCCTTGCTGTTATATGCATGTCCTCGTCGCCGTCTCGTTGATATCTCCAGGTTGGCACCTCGATTGCCGGCGCCCGTCGTGTAGGATACCTCTGTAGTATTTGGACGGTCGATGTGCCTCATCACTGTATGATTATGTATTTGTACCACAGAGCATGCCACGACGCCCCTCCTTTTCGCTCTCCGCCTTATCCGTTTGAGCCTCAGCGCTCGACCGTAGTCCTCTGGAACTGAATAGTAGGTCAACTTTGTTGGGGCCGGCGGACTGTATCCCGTGGTGAGGCAGTTCTCAATATTGCCGAGCCACTGGCTTGTCAGCAGTCTCCTGCCCAATGGAGGGCTCGAGCGGTGCGATGCTGGTTGTCCGCTTCCCTATACAACCACGGATGTGTGAACGAACAACTTTGAAACTCACCACGTCGTCACCGGGCGGTCCATCCATTCCCATCGGCCTCAAGACAGGGCCGCACTCTCTCTGGTCTTGTGCCCAAACGTACTGGCGTGACAAGGTACGAGACCATATTTTTCTCATATTGAATGCTGATGAAACATCAAGACGATGCAGTCACTGGACAAAGGCCCAAATTAGTAGCCGAACCTGAGTGCGTGCTGGAAGTTGATAAGGGCGGCTCAATTCTTCAGGACGCAGGACGCAGGACACAGGACGCAGGACGCAGGACACAGGACGCAGGACGCAGGACACAGGACACAGGACGCACTCAGAGCTCATTTGATGGATGTGATGGGCTAGCCGAACCTGCCGCATATGGCAAGGTACCAACCTCATTTCTCGTGCCCGTTGTTTTCCAAGGGGTCTGTCGTGTCCCAAACCTCGCAGAAAAATATGAATCGCAAGTATGTTGAGGACGAAAGCTTTCCGCGTCGGTTGACCCTTCCCTCGAGGCACTGTGTGAGGGGGGAGGAGTGTCATCATCGCTCGAGGGGTTTCGAAGGCGAGCTTGTCGGCTAGTCTCGCTTAGCCCATACCTCCATCAATGGCCTCTGAACGCGTCCTGCGTCCTGCGTCCTCAAGAAATATACAGCTCGCTCGTTGTCATGGTGTCTGGCCTCGAGGCCTCGAGGTTTGAATCTGATTATGGCGACGAGATCGTGATGACAGGCCCAAGCTACATGTTATCCCGCCGCCGCCGCCGGCGGCGGCTCCGGTTCGACGCTTGGCGGAGGGTCCTGCGATCGTCGTGCACGTCAGTCTCTCTGCGTCAGCAGGCCGGCTCCTCCTAATTTACCGAACTTAGTGAGTAGCATCCGAAGTGGGAAACCTACCAGACGCGCCGTCGAGGTGTGACGTTGACACCCATCGATACTCACGCGACGTCTCGCCTCTCAGAGCGTTGTATGTACGCCGTGTAACCTGCCAAGAGCGAACAGTGTTCGTCTCAGGCTCCGCTCGTCGCATCGGGCAATATTGCGGTTGTGATGCGCTTTGAGGGCATCGGCAGCCCCGTTGCTTTGCACGTACCAGTGGTCTGGTAAGTTGGGGGACACTTGGAACGTGGTTTGGGGAGTACTTATGGACTGTAGACATTAATTAGCGAGATGAGAGCGCGATGACGACCGAGATGGGAGCTCATCGACGAGGGTAGCGGAATATGCGCCTAGGCTCTCAGATGATAGATTTGCGGGATGCACCATATGAGCCTAGCATGCACAGGAAACATGACGCCGTTAGTGCGGTAGAGGGTCTTGGAGACTCCGAGGCATCGCACTGGAAATAAGGGGAGGCATCGTGGAATGTATGGCAGACGTCAACGCAATTGATGGCAGATATGGTTGCACGCACCGTACTGGCCGGATGGGGAGATGTCGCTATTATGGAGAAGGACGGAGAACACTCACGTTCATGCGGATAGGCTCGTGTGACTCTGCGTAATGCATTTGATGTAGGCGTACGGTTCCGGTGCTTGGGTGCTCGCTGTAGCCTGTCAGCGATTTGCAGGATAGTGCTGGTCCTGTGTATGTCTGCGCAGAAGGCGTGTGAGGCTGGGGACGAGGTGCGACCGGAGAGTAGGTGCGCTGCTTGTTGCCGCCACATACGTGACTAAAGATCTGGACTGGTCGTCGTCGAAGAAGCGGGAAGAGGAAGTCGTTCCTTGATCAGGACAAGTCGGGCAGCGAGCCAGGGCAAGCGACTCCAGGTTCAAGAACGCCGGCTGCCGGCGGAAGGGCGGAGACAGCGCTCTCCCGGGCGTTTGCGCATGCGTGTCGTGGTCAAGAAGGAGGTTGTCATTGTCGTGTATGATACGATAGGCCGTGATGTTGCATACTGTGGTGTACTCTATAATAACCGTGAGCAGAGTGATGGCGCAGTAGGGAGACAGAGATCTACCGCCGGGACCGCATGCGTGGTATCAGAGACACTGCCACAGGAGCATCGCACGGAGGATGGGCCGGCTGACACGCGGCGGTGAATACATATCTCGCGTCTGATGCCTGTCGTTGCTCGACATTTCGAGGCGGATCTGACGAGCAATCTCGGTCGGCCTTGCGGTTGTCATATGCTCTCGCGGCGCGGGCGACGAGGGCCAGTACTGGCGGGCACCGGTGACAGATCCAGGGAGTTTGCGCTGCGTGGGAGACACCACGTTCCGAATCGCCTTCCTCGGCAACGTCCCCCCAGCCCCCGCAGATCCTCTAAAGCTCGCCGTCCGTCCGCCGCCAAACGCCCCCTCCTCCGCCTTCCGCCCAGTCGCCCCCGCGCGAGCCCACCCGCTGCCTCCTCAGCCCCTCCGCCATGGGTGTACAGAAGCGCCCCCACGACGACGACCCCCTCTCGCGCGTGCTCGCGCCCCCGCCGAACGAGACAGCCGAGGAGCGGGAGACTCGCCTGCGCTTAGAGGCCGAAGCTCGCCAGATAAGCGACAAGATCGACGAGCAGCTCAAGGCCGAGCGTGCTGCACTTAAGAAGAACAGGCCGGTCAAGGTGCTGCTGCTGGGCCAGAGCGAGAGCGGTATGTGCTTTGTTCGTCGCCTGATGCGATGAGCCCCTGTGACGTTGTGTGTCTTTTTGCTTCGCAGGAAAATCGACCACGCTAAAGAGTGAGTTCCTTTGCGCATCTTTACGGCATCGGGCTCGCCTCGCTGTGGTGCTCGGGTTCCGCTTAGTGGGTGCAGGAACGTACCGACTGATGTCGTGGCGGATGGTTCGTATGCAAACGCCTCGAAGCTCATCGACCGATGATGCGCAATCGTTGTACCTGGGCGCTTGGCCGCTGTGACACCCCCTGCGCTCATCCAACGCATATACACGCCTTCTCCTTCCCGTATGTAGGTCCGGGGACACACCTTCGAGCGACGAGTGGACCCCGCTCTAGCAGTGAATCCTACAGCGATACTAAATCCGATTGTGGAGCGCGACGCTTAGCGCTTCAATTCTCTATGCCACGCCGACGCTAGCGTTGCTGCAGTGCTATCCTAATATAAAATCCTCCCGTCCTCACCACTCACCCGTCTGACATTCACTGTAGACTTCCAGTTGACGTACTGCCGGGACCAATGGGAAGCAGAGCGCGCATCATGGTGCATGGTCATCCAGCTCAACCTCGTCCGCGGCATCAACACCATCCTCGACATCCTCTCCGAGGAGATGGCAGGCGTCGGAGGCAGCGGTGGCGCCCCGCCCCCGGCCGTCGACTCTGATGTGAGCGACGATGACGACGGCCCCGGGCCCGGGCCCGCCCGCACTTTCTCGCCCTCCTCAAGCACGTTCTCGGGGAAGCACCGGCTGCTGAAGCTGCGGCTCACCCCGCTGAGGACCGTGCAGCGCGACCTGGAGCTGCGCATCGGCATTCAGGCGGGGGCGGACATCAGCGACCACTTTGTGCCGGCGAGCCCGCCTGGGTCGCCCGTGTTGGGGGCGACGCGCAAGCAGGAGTTCTTCGTGCGCTCGGCGACGAGCTGGAAGCAGCTGCAGGGGTGGGGCGCGGGTGAGGGCGAGGGCGGCGGCGGCGGTGGGGCGGGGCGCAAGTCGAAGGACATACAGATGCGGGAGACTGCGGACATACTGGCGGGCTGCGCGGAGGACATGAAGGCGATCTGGGAGGACGCGACGGTGCGCGAGATGCTGTTGAGGAAAGGGGTGCGCATGGAGACGACGCCGGGGTTGTAAGTGGGTCTCTTTCTTATGCATGCATACTCACCGACGTGGGGGGATGCAGCTTTTTGAACGACATCGACCGGATCGCGTCAAGGAGTTACCAGCCCAGCGACGACGACGTTGTCCGGGCGCGCCTGCGCACGTTGGGCGTTCAGGAGCACAAAATCAAGTTTGCATCAGGTATGCCATTTGTTGTCTGGTGATTGGGCTTGATCTATGACATGGGCTCACTCCGTGTCCTCCAGGACCCGCGGCAGGATCCGAGTGGTGCATATACGACGTCGGCGGCTCGCGGACGCAGCGCATCGCGTGGTACCCGTACTTCGACGACTGCGACGCAATCATCTTCCTCGCGCCGATTAGCTGCTTCGACGAGCGGCTGGCGGAGGACCGGCGGGTGAACCGGCTGGAGGACAGCTTCATGCTGTGGAAGGCGGTGGTGTCGTCGAAGCTGCTGGCGAAGACGTCGATTGTGCTGTTCCTGAACAAGTGTGACCTGCTCGAGCAGAAGCTGCTGAACGGGGTACGGATCAAGGAGTACGTGCATAGCTACGGGGACCGTCCGAACGACCTGGAGCATGCGACGAAATGTGCGTGATCCACTGCGCTTTCTCAGAACGCAAGACCGTATGTTGACTGTTCGTCCGGTCGACAGACTTTGCGCAGCACTTCCGCGACATCCTGCGTAAGCACTCGCCTGAACCGCGGCCGTTCAGGGTGCATATGACTTCCGTCGTGGTGCGTCTCATGAGTCTCGTCCGACTTGGACTCTACTAAAGCTGACTATGTGCATCGTGTTATGCAGGATACCAAGGCGACCGCAGTAACACTCTCAGTCGGTGAGCATCCCTTCCTCTCTGTCTTCTACTGGTTTGAGGTTGGGGCGTTGTCGCATACGACAATGGTTAACGAGGGACGAACTTCCATTACAGTCGAAGAAGGCATCCTTCGGGACCATCTGACGCGAGCAGACCTCCTCTGATCTGTGAGGCTGAGCTCTGCTTCGTCAAATCCCTTCGCCTATCCAAGACTTCACCTCTTCACTTGTCGCCTCGGGCCGGCCTCCCCCTCCTTCGTCTACGATGGACGTTTGCCCTTGCTACGTTATACACCATCTTCGTCTTGGCCTCTACGATTCCCATCTAATCCCAGCCATGTTCTGCTCTACAAATCTGTACTACACGTGCTTTGTCGCTTTCTTCCCTCCTGTCCTTCCTGCCGCCCTATCCCCTTGTATCATTGTTGCCCCTCTTCCACAGTCGCGCACGGCCATTGTTGACACTCCCCTCTTCCCCATGCAGTCCAGGACCACATCTTCAGGCGAAATCTACGCGAGGCGGACCTGACCGCTTAGGCTGCTCTCGTCTACTGCTTGTAGGTACGTTGGTCTCTTCCTCGCTGTGCGTCACCATCCCTGCAATCGTCTGACGCTTGGCTCCCTACTTCAGACTTATTGATATTGCAATACGTCTGCGACCACCACCACCGTCCACCCGAGAGCCTCGCGGCTCTTGTACATATATTATGTGCCGCATTCGCTCATCTGCCACTGGTGCACTCAGCACCTTCGCTTACCTTTCCACCTGACGTATGTCCCTCCTGCATGCTCCGTCTCCTCCCAGTCTATTCCCCTCCGCCGTCTAGAATGCCGCCGCCGCTCGCCCCCGGACCCACCCTTCCATTCATGCTGCCATCGTCATCATCATCATCTTTACCGCCATCTTCATCGTCATCTCCGCTGTTGCTGTTGTTGTAGTTGTAGACTATCCGACACCGCCGCGACTAGGCACGCTCCCGGGCGGGCCCCCCCATGCATCTTTTACACTACGTGTTGTGTATCGTCTAATCCGATGCCTCGCTTCCAAGTTCCCGCTTCAAGGCCCACACCTTGATAGCCGTCCGCCGCCGTCCCTGCATTGCGGATGTCAACGCCGACACGGGTCTGAACCACGGTCACACGCTGGGTGCTCGCACGCACGCACGCAATGTCCGTCGTCATGATACGCTGCTCGATCATGTAGGATGTGCTGATATGCATGGAAGACGACGGTGGCAACAGGGAACGGACGTTGGGAAGCCCGATGGTGGAAGGTTGAACTTGCATTATGGAACAGAAGAACAGCGGGCGTGTACAATAACGATGCGTATGTCCAGGATCCGATCTCCCCAACGCGGGAAACTCTGATGAAACGTGCGTGCGGGCTTCTATACGATACAATACATGTGCTCGGGATGCTGGCGTGCCTGGAGGCGTGGGTTCTTTGCGGGGACTGGGAGCTGTGATATGAATTTGAAGGTGCCGGACGACGAGGGCGATAGAGGGAGGATGACAAGGACCTGGGATATGGAGCCAAGGATGCACGCCAGTGGAGGGCGGTCGGCGGTCGGGAGGAAGGTCTAGGGCGGGTGCATCCACTGATCCGCGATGGCGCCCGCCAGTACGTGTAGAGCATACATGGGACAGAATCCGGGCCCATGAGCCTGGGTGAGCTTCTCGAAGCTTCATACGCACATGGCTCTTTGCACGGCCGCATTCTGGAGCGTCCCACTCCCATCAATACGCGGCGAGGAGCCTCGGCTGCCGCCTGAAGCGCGCTGTCGGTTGTCCGTGCCCAACCCAAAGCAAAAGCAAACGGCGCGTCAGAAAGAGAGAAATCGCGATGACGATCCCCCCGCCTCGCAGGGCGCTCGGCCCGGAAACGCGGGTCCCGACACGGTAACACCTTGGACGAGATGACGCACCGTAGAGCAGGCAGAGCGCACCCAGGACCTGGACGGCGCCCGAGTACCCCGCGACGACCTGCCAGTTGTTGCCCGTCGCGCCGAGGATCGCCCCACCGATGGGCGCGCCCGCGGCGTAGCCTGTGGCAGACAAGATCAGCCTTCCGCTTGGAGAGGACGCGACGAGGAGGTGGAGGGCATGGGCATGAGTGCGGAGGGGGAGGGATAGGCACAGACTCGGACGTAGGGCGGGCCTACCAGCGCGGACGTACCAGGGGCGTTGAAGAGCAGGAGCAGGCCCGAGAGGCCCGCCAGGCGGTCCGCGCCGTATATCTTCGCGGCGACCGCGGAGACGAGCGAGAGGAAGCACCCGCAGAAGAAGCCGTACAGGACCGAGAACACGATCTGCAGGGAGCGGGAGCGTGGGCAGGGGGATGGGGAGGGGAAGCGGGGAGGGGGGGGGGAAGAACATGGACGTCAGCGGCAGCGGAGAGAAAAGGCAAGCGGCAACTTGCGGCGCGCGCGACTGACGATGCCCGCGTACGTCGTGACGAACGTCCACACGACGAGCTGCGTGAGGCCGGAGAGCGCGATGGCGACCAAGAGCGCGTTCACGGGCCCGAGCTTGTCCGCCGCGAAGCCGATGAGGATCCGGCCCGCGGCCGCTGAGAGGTTCAGCACCGTGAGCGGCAGCGCGAGCATCTGCGGGCGCGCACGGAGTGAGAGTGAGTCGCGGGTACGGTGCGGAGAGACTACGTGAAGCATGTAGGCACGCACGATCGAGCTCATCCCTGGCGCCTTCTCGGCCGTGAAGGTGGGCAGCAGGAACACGGGGCCTAGGTAACCACTGCACACCCCAAGGTCAGCGTCCACGAGCCTGCTCAGCGCAGCAACCGATAAGAGTACAGACAACACCGTGAAGAAGAAGCACATCGCGAGGCTCCAGAAGACCGGGTCGCCGAAGAACGCGCGGTCGAACCAGACGATCTGCGGCCGCCTCGCCCTGGGCCGCCGCTCCTGCATCATCGCGTACCCGCACGCGAACGCGACGGCGTCCACCGCCGTGAAGATCGCGAGCGACTTGCGGAGGCCGATCGTCGAGAGCAGCTCGCGGTAGACCAGCGAGGATATCGCGCCGCCTGCGCATCGCGTTAGCCGAGTGCGGACACATATATGCGCCTCGCGAGCGTACCGATGGAGCTGCCTGCAACGACGATGCCTGTCGCGAATGCCCGCCGGCGGAGGAACCACTGCGAGGGCAGCGACACCTGCGGGCGGTGGGAGCGTCGAGTGCACTGTGCCTCAGCGGCATCTATACATGGATCTGCAAGCCACGTACTATTAATGGGAAGACGAGCGCGTCCGAGATCCCCTGCATCAAGCCCTGGGCAGAGTCAAGATAAGCTTTGCGCGTTCTTAGAGCCTGTACCCAGAACAGCGGGGATGGTGTGACGTACCATGGTCAGGAAGAACTGCCAGACCTCGGTGCAGAACGCGGCGGCGAGCATGCTGGCGACCCAGACGATCGCGCCTGCCGCGAGGAACGGCTAAGAGTGGGGGACACAACAAGATCGGTCTTCTCGGCGGGCAATGTGCACTGCGGACGCACGCATACCTTGTATCCGCTGCGGGACCTTCAGCATGCGTGTGGCGGGAGCGGACGCGGCAGCGCGGACGTACTAACGGTCAGCCAGCTTTCCTGCTACGATGCCGCCCAGCGTCATGAACTGGCAGAGGGTCAGCGCATACGTTCGGGCGCAAGCGGAGCTCGGCGGGCTTACCAGACACGACATACTGCCCAGAGTGGTCAACACCGAGTCCGAGGTGTGGGGGAACATGTGCTCTTTGAAAAACTCTTCGGTCACCCCCCACACCTAGCCCCGACCAGAGATGAGCATCGGTTGGGATGACAGAGGCTGTAGGGTTGAACGTACCAAGCTGAAGGCGTCAGGTGCACCCGTGATCGGTTCGATGTCAGTCACAGTTCGTGATCACCGGACGGGGGCCACGCACCCCCATCCCACGGTCGACGCAGAGTAGATGAAGCATCCCAACACGACGAGCCAGCCTCTTCCCCCGTCGGGAAACGAGTCCTCGTACGCTACCTCTTTTGCCTTCTCGGACACCTCTGACGAGGACCCAAGGAATTCGGGCAGGTCCACCACTTCGATCGTGGATCGCTTCGGAGGAGCATCCTTCTCCTGCTCCGGCGCAGGCAACACTACACCCTGAGAGGCCCGGGTCGTTGCAGCAACCGACATGCGGCCGAGCGTTTGGCTCCTAGGGGAGGACCAGTTTGCGTCCGGGGTTTTATTGCAGATGAAACTGAAAAAAGGAAGGTCAATTTCCGGTATGGAGCAGAGCACAGAAAGCCAACGAGCCAAGGACGAGCTGTGCAGGCACGATACGGGGCGTAGAGTCGGATCGTGACGCAGAACACCTACGCTGGGGACGCTCGGCAGTCAGGACCTGTAGCTGTATCCCCGTATATATATCACTTGCGGGGTTTCGAGAGCTGGCAGGCGCTGAGAGTGCACGTCGATCGGCCTGAATCTGCGAACCTGATGGAGGGATCGGGCAGAGAGACAGAGCCGAGGGGAGGGGACCTAGAAGGCTGCCAAGGAAGAAGGGGGCACGCACAGGCGAGTGCGGCAAGAGCCTTATGTGGAGGCACCAGCTGGTCGGTTGACAGACGTTCGCGAACTGAGGCCTGGAGATCTGCTCTCCACGCACACGGCCTGCAGGCAACACCAAGCGGTTCCGTGTCAGGCAATGAACGACCCTTGCCGCGGCGCGAGCATGAGAATGGGAAACATCACTACGCACGCTGCGGCCTCCGCTGTTCTTCCCAGCTTCGATCTCGTATATTGGCCCTCTTGGAAGCCCTCCCCGTACGCTCCACATCCTGCTCGCCTCTGCCTTTCAGGTGTATCTCACTGCCCAATTCGTCGCTGCCGAGCACGCAAAAAGCGCAACAGGAGAGACGAGAGTGGACAGCCTCAGGTGGCCTCCTGCCCACAGGGGGCTCGAAGCCCGGGTGTCAAAGGACGGGTCAGGCGAGGGGTGTCTTGGGCGCAGATGGCAATCGTCCGATACATGCATCGCGGGCGTCTCTCATCATCTGCGTTCGCACCCCCGCTCAACGGACGCCACCACGCCGTTGGCTGGTGCCACGATGGGCGACGCCTCCCAGCATTCTGTGGCATCCGCTTACGTCACCCGACCACGGCGTACACCACAGGAGAACGCCGAGCGCGGGGCCTCGTGGACGCGCCATGGCCAGGCGCGCTTGGGTTCTGTCAGAAAACACACACGTATGTCAGTCCTGGGAGACCTCGTGCATCGCGATCGTCGTGCGCAGGCTTATATAAACGATGAGCAGCGCCGCCAGAGCCGTGCCCGGATGGTGGCGAGCTCCCGTACGGCTCATGGCCTGCAAGCAAGCTCCCGAAGTATCGAACCGAAACAGAAAACACACCACAGTTGACTTCCAAATCCGTCGCACATTACAGGATGGAGTCCTCGTGGCGTCGACGCATGCGGAAATCCCCACGTCCCGCGAACGGCGCAGCTTACCCAATCCGTCCGCCCAACGTCCGCGTCGAGACGAAGCTTCGCGGCGAAGAAACAGCGTTGAAGGCTCAGCCGCATGAGCTCTTGCCCAGGCCGGGGCCAGGCTCTGCACAGCCACGAAGCAGGGTCACCGGCCATGAATCCTTCTGCAACATCCAGTACAGCTCGGTCAAGCAGGTGCAGTCGAGAACACCAAACGCCTATTCAACATGCTCCAAAGCGCACGTCCATATCTAGCTCCTTGAGCCGCCCGTCCCCCGCACATATCCTCCCCGTCCGATGTATTGCAATCCATCGGCCATGCGCGCAGTGCGTAGTATGCGTACGAACGCGATCTCTTCCGGCACCCCGCTCGTTTTCCGACCTACACGTTCGTCCTGTCCCCAAACCACCGCACGGCCCGCGCTCCCGCCTCCAGCAAGTAAGCACGCGCCGTCGAAGAGCGACCCGAAGAACTGGAACTCGGGGCAGCGTCGCGAACAGGTTCAGCAGCCCGTGTCCGGCCGCGCTCCCGGTGGCGGGAACGACGTGCGCAGCTGGGTGAGCGTCGACAGCAGGTAGATGCCCAACGGGAGGGCAACGGTGTGGTCAGCGAGGTGAGCTAGGATGGGCGGAGGAGGGAAAGAGGAAGGATGGCGCACCATGACCTCCCCGAGCGAGTACCACTGTAAGAGACGCCCCGAACGACCGGCTTGTCGCGCACGCCCGTATTTTGAGTCACAGCCGCCTGAGCGCTTGTCACCTGTACGTCACAACCCGCGCGACGACACTCGTTGGGGCCTTCGCGCACAGTAGCACTCATCATGATATCAGACTTTTGTGTACCGCTACTCGCATCTCTTGCGCATTGTTTCAGTGTACTGTATGAACTATGGAAATGTTGCGTGTAAGGGGCTCGCGGGTGCAGCAGCACAGGCAACATGTACCCCATCTCTGCTCTATTGAGAAGCCATTCCACTTCATCTGCCTTATAAACATTACTCCACCTAGCAGCATTTCACCATGCCTAATGTACCCCCAACTGTTGGCGTATCAACACAGATACAAGATTGTTCGGCACCACTCGCTTGCGGAGAACTCGGCATGTATTTCAAAATTATCTTTGGAATGGGTGGGTATATGTCACCTTCCCATGTCGCCGAAGATACTCATTTTGATATGTCATCACCACCCTCCTTCCCCTCGCAAGTCGGCTTCCTCATCGTAGCCTCAGTTTCCTTGTCTGCCAGTGCCATGCGCGTGATGGGGGAAGCGACTCCCAATCTTGTCCGGGCGCTGAGAAACATGCGTCCCGAGAGCATTCCCATCGCTACTACCACCACCGGAAGCGTTGATAGCTCAGCGGACACCCCCAGCGAGGCAGATCCTTCAATTCCTGCACTCGATGCACGTATCTCCTGAGAAGCCGATACAGCACCGATGGACGCGTCGATTACCTCCCAACCAGTGTGGGAGAGTCTGCAGCGTGCAGCGCAGTTTCTGAAGCAGTCACTTTTAGTAGCCATGACAGTGACGGGGATAGGTTTGAACGCAACTTCGTTGGGAGCAGGGGGTGAGTGATCTGATCCTGTCCTCACGATCTAGCTGGTACGTTGTCCTGATTTGTTTTCTCCCAAGGCCCGTAGGATGAATATCGTGGCAATATCTCCATCACACCACTTGACTCCCGTCCACCACAACGAACACCGTTGCACCTGTGACATTATACCCATTTCCCCGTGCCCGTACGGCAATGCACGTTACATGACCGATTGTCTTGACTACTCACTTTCTGCATGATGCTTGTATTAGTAACGTCTGGAGAGATAAAAATTCCCTCAGAGTGCTGGACATCCGCGGCCTACAGTGCGTCCTGAGCACTGGATTGAAGGAACAGCATGACCTCAGACAGCTCTCAGTTCACTCAAGGCTTGCAAGCCCTCGGGAAAACGTCATAGATCAAGTCAAATATCTGTTGGTATATATACTGAGCATCTCATGTTATAATAGAAACGATACAGCAACCTGTATACGCACGGACGGGGAGCCAAGCTTATCGGTTAATGTTATGCCCACCTTGCCTGTCGACATTTCCCTTGATCCGTGTGAGAGTGATATATCTCCGTATGGGGGTCATCGATGATGCTAGGAACGATTTTGAAGCAAAAAAGTTGGAGATACCATTGTAGGCAGCAGTGACTGGTGTAGTATGAACAAGTCGCAATCAAGATGGTGGCGGAGCAGCTGCAAACGATGCGCTTACATAATAGGCTGTGAGAGATCAGATCTTTCGCTACCGCTCAGCTATTTTCACCCGCGCTTATGAGCCTGAAAGCAGGCGGGTTGGACGCGCGCCGTTCCTGCAGGCTGCTTCCACAGTTCTCACCTCTGGACCCAACTCTACACAAATCGCTCTCTTCATGCTCGCGTCATAGCATATACCCCACTCTACTCGGAACTGACCGTAAAAGGCCTTTGAGTCGACATGACAGCCCCTACCGGCATCTCTCCGTCTGAGGACGACCTCAAGGGCGCACTCGTTGCCCTCAAAACCGCCAACCCGACGCTTGGCGTCCCCAAGATCCACGCACTCCTCGTCGCAGAGCACCCAGAGTGGATCGTGAGCGAGAAGCGCACGCGCAAGGTCTTGCAAAACCAAGGCTTGGTCCAGACGTTGAGCGCGAGCGGCGCCGCTTCCGGCCAGGTCCACCCAACCTCCAAGCTGATCGAGGGCCTGGACGTCACCAAGTGGACGACGAAGGCGGAGGTGAAGTACTTCGGGAAGGCAAAGGGAAAAGGTCTCGTTGCGAAGGAGGCGATCGCGGAGGGCGAGGTCATCTGGAAGGAGGACCCGTTCATCCTTGCACCCGAGTGGTGAGTCTCACATTTTTTCTGGCTTATGCGCCCCTCTCGGGTGCGTCCGGTTGACTTGGCCGCAGGAATCTATATGACCTTCAGATGTCTTCGCACGCATGCGGCCACTGCTCGACCCCGCTCACTACCTCGCCCCTCATCGTCCCTTGCTCCGCCTCCACGTCTTCTACCCCCTGCCCAGTGCGCTTCTGCAGCCGTCTCTGTCTGTCTCGCTCCGGTCGCACCCATCCTCTCTTGTGCACTTCCCGAAACCCTGCGGCGGCTCCACTACTACACTTTGCGCGGAAGAACCAGTGGATGGCGCTGCACGCGCTAGCGCAGATGACCGCACGCGTGCTGCTAACCTTCCAGCAGGACGACAAGCTCTTCGCGGAGGACTGGGAGGTCGTGCGCTCCCTCGCGCAGCTGGGCATGGAGGAGCGCGCGAAAGGCGGATGGTGCGTACCTCCATCCGTTCTGGCATCTGGAATGAGGTTTATGACAGATGAGAGGGCATAGGCTGGGCGCAGAGCCAGATCGGGCGATGTGGAAGAAGGCGCACAAGCTGTACGTGCAGGCGTTCCAGGAGCCCGCGACGGACGCTGAGAAGAAACGGCTGGCGAAGCTGCTGAAGAAACCTCTGCCGCAGGACGTCTCGGATACCCTGTTCGACTACGAGGCGTTCCTGCGCGGACTGGGTCGGATGAGTCTCAGTGCGTCTCCCTCTCCACCCTCGATTTGCAAGTGCTGACCGCCTGTCCGCAGACCTTGAGGCTCATGGCGGTCTATATGTGCTCCATTCCCACTTGAACCATAATTGCGACCCCAACGTGTCCGTCCGACACCTCGACCAGCGCACTGCACTCTCCCGCATCACTGTGATCGCCCGACGGGACATCGCACCAGGGGAGGAGCTCTTAGTCACGTACGTGAACCCCGAATTATCACTTGAGCAACGCAGGAGGGGCCTGATGGAATGGGGCTTCGGGAAATGCGCATGTGAGCGCTGTCGGAAGGAAGAGAAGGAGAAGAAGGAGAGCGGTGATGCGGAGGATGCGAACGAGGGCGGGGACAAGGCCGATCTCGAGGCCGAGCTCAAGGCGGGTCTGGGGGTGATGTGAGGAACATTGCTTGCGCAAATTCAAACCACAGCGCCGCATGTATGAGTACGCAGATACGCATGTTGTACAAAAGAGATTGGGTACTTCTGGGACACCCCTACCGCCGAGGACTGGGACCACTAGGCGGTCCCTCGGAGCTTCTTGAACAGCGCCCCGCCCATCGCGGCGATCTTCTCGACGTCCCGACACGTCAAGCTGTACCTCATCCCCCGCTCAAGCATGCTCCCGTTCGCGATCGCCTCCCTCGCCTCCTTGCCCCTCAGCAGATCGTAGTTCGCGATGCGCTCCTGCGGCGGACGCCCGTCTTCCTCGAACTTGTCCTCGACGCGGCCCTCGATCCCATGCAAGTGCGAGCCGTACAGATCCGACGTAGTGATGACGAGGCTGCGTGGCTCGAGGAGAAGCGAAAGGACGGGATTCGGGTCGATCGGGCGGCCCGTGCTCGAGATCAGCTCGTCGGGCGCGGATATCTGGACGGGGGAGGCGTCCGTGTCGGGCTTGTAGCGGTAGTAGTGGAAGACGGTGTGAGATCCGAGGGAGAGCGTGGCGACGACAGGGTGATAGGCTGGGCCGTCTTCGTGTGGCTGCGAGGAGGGGCGTGAGTTGCAGTTGCGATGTAAAGAGAACAGTGCGTACCATGATTCCTTGACCTGGTGCATACTATGGAATGAGAGCTGAGGCAGGGATGGTGGTCGTGTGTCGGTATGAACTTACTTCATTCATTATGATGTGATTTGGTTCTCCGTGGGCAGAATCTTTGAAAACGCCAAGGGCTCGTATGCGCCCGACGATGTCTGGACTGTGACAAACACAGTCATGAACTCGTATCTTATCTTCATTGTGACGATGCAGCGTACTATTGGTTGGCGAACGGAGGCATATCCTGAGGGATCAATGCATGTTTCCCCGTCAGCTCGCCTCCTGTCGTGTTTGTTCAAGTCAATGAGTCCAGTGGAGCTGTGTTTGCGACTGACCCCATATCTGCAATCTACCGTATGTTAGAAGCACTATGTTTCAGATGGGCCTGCCTTTGTACCTGCGGTTTTGTAATCTCTTCCACCACGGTTGAGGCGCTTCGTTGATCTGGAGGGCTTTGAGTGTCTTACAGGATGACGCCAGCTGTTAGAATTTGGCTACCTTGCGAGTGAGATACTCCTCTTCATCTTCTGTGACAAACTCAGGAATATAGTATGTCCTGGTCGTCCCGGGAACCACGTAATCGTCCAAATTGACGGTGCTCATTATAGCTGGCAATCAAGATCACAGCCACTGAGTAGAGTCGCGTCACGATGCGATATCGATATCGAGATGTCTGTCGCCCGTCTGAAGGCGCTCACTCAGACTGGAACCTTACTGTATTTGCCTGAATGGCACTGTTGACTCTAAGTATAAGGGTACTTATGCTTTGAAGTAGCACAGCAGTCCGCTGACGCGGTTAGAGAAGATAAACTGTCTCCATCCCCATCTCCGACTCCGAGAGTTGAACGTTGAGGTTCGGGCATCCTCTGCAATGAACTCGCTCATCCAGGAGCGTGGCTCGCAGCCAGAAAGGGATGGTGTGAGCAATGCGGCTCGCTCAGCAACTGATCCACGTTCTTACTGGTATATACTAATACAACATTCGATACGTATTGGTCACAAGATGCGCTTCATAATCGAGGAATAATCTAGGAAAGGGGCCGACGGACCTGATCGGCGTGCGAGCTCTCTGGTAAGAAGACCTGGGCCCAATGAGCGCGATGACAAGATCTACTCGCGAGTGGCTCTGCCAATGCATCTGCGCTCACATATCAGTTCGTGCCAGCGAGCAAATCCGCGTAATAGCCCTCCACATCCGGTCTAGTCGCCTCGGCCGGCGTCGAAGATGTCTTCCACACTTGTGGGTTCTTCTTCATGTATTCGGACATGAGTCTCAGCATGCGGGGAGTGTCGGTGTGACAGGACGTAACGAGGGATTCGGGTGGATTGTCAACTTCTTCGGCTGCATTGGGTAGTGAGTTCGACAACAACTGATCAGGTACAGGGATTCATACCCTGATCCGGAAACCGTTTGAGAAATCGGTCCCTGTACTTCTTGTCGGCGGCTGCATAGGAGATTTCTGTCATGGGCTGCAACATGGAATCTTCCGAATCGACGGTCTCTGCTCATAGAACGAAATTCAATATGCGTAAACGTACATGAAAGTGACGTGTACTTACCAGCATCAGTCCCACTGTTTCCCCGTGACCCTTCGGACATCTCAGACGTTACTGTAATAATGATACATGTCAGATGGGACACGTACTGCAAGTGATAATACGTACTTATGTCCGCGCCCCCATGGATCACCTCGAGCTTCGACCGCTTCTGTCTTCCTGCTTCTTTGGGCATTTTCCGAACCGCCAACCGAGCCGCCCTTCTCCGCTCGACTTCCTCGCTGACCGGGAATACGTCGAAAGCGTCTTTGTCCCGCGGAAGGTTGATGAACGTGTAAGCGAACCGAGCGTATACAAATTGGTCGGACACCCGATTAGGCAAGGTGACTAATCTCTGGTGAAATAGCTCTGCATGTTCGAAGGCTCCTCGCTGCACGACGTACGCCACGAATCTGTTACCTTCTACCGGATAGAACACGAAGCCATGACGATCAAGGCATTGATGCACATCGCTACGCAGAGTCAAGCCGTTTGCCACATCGTCGAGACCTGTTAGAGGACCAGACAAGTTGTAGTCGGTCATGTTGTTCCCGTTGAACCAGTCCTCGTGTTCTTTGGGGACGAGGTGAGCATTTTCGCACGCTGGGATTGTGAATGGCGGACTGAGCAACCGTATATCAGTGCAAGATAGAGTTACGTACACTGCTGATACTGGGTGATTACGCAATGCCCGTCCTCTGAGACGACAACCCTAGACATGGCCGATGCCGAATTGAACTCATAACGGTAGAGCGCTGACCGTTCTTCAGGAGTTCTAGTCCGGACCCAATGAGAGGGAATAGAAGCCGGAAACCTCCATGCGGAGAAATCTTTGACGATGCGGTATTTGCTCGTGGTCCCAGGTGATGCGAGATGGTAGAAGTAGCGACCCGGGCTTAGGAGCGAAATGTCCAGTGAGACGCGCTGTTCGCCAGCGCAGTCATGAGCTATGTAGCCATCTTGATCGTTTGCAGTGAGGTTGGTAAGGATACGGCAAGCATCCAGGACGAGACGATGGTCTACGCCGTACTGCGTGTCGCCAGAAGGGGTCGGTTCGTCGGAGAACGCCGGAAGGGAGAATAGCGGACGATTGAAGCCTGGGTGTATTATATCGACTGTCAGAGTATGCAACAGGACTTCTTGTGGAGAGGGAGGTGTGAGTTGCTGTCGAATCCTCATCGTGGCGTTCGAACGAGGGAAACTGATGATTGCGGACAACGCGATGACTTCTAATAAGGGAGAAGCCGGGTACTTATAGGTATTACGTCATGCCATCGGCCTTTCGAAAACGTCTGGACCCATTGCCACTCGTATTCCCTCTCAACAGACAAATTCGGGGGTGCAACAGCTTGTCCTGTTTGAAACTGCACACAGCAACGTCCTTGTAACCACACAGGATGTGACCGCTTATAACGCGCCTGCCGAGTCTTGCCCAACAGTGCCAACACAATCAAGGCAGTGTGCAGCGTCACCAGCGACCACCCATCCATCAATTGCCACAGTCCTGTCTACCCAAAAAGCCCAAGCAGCTGATGGGAATGTCCGCCCCACAGCCTCTTCCACTAGCTTGGTCGAATCATCGCTGTCCGGTCGTACCTTGAACTTCGGCACGATCAGCGTCTGCAAGCCGTGCGCTTTGCCGGAAAACTCGACTGCATCCAGCGTCTCCGCAGTGATCTCCATGGGAGGCAGATGCAGCGAGCGAAGGTAGGGGCAGTTGCGCGCAAAGTGCGCGGTAGACGCGAAATCCCCTCCACGAGCGCGGTCTCCGAGCGACATTCCCCGAGGCGCCAAGTAGCTCCAGATGTCGATGTGAAGCTCCTCTATGTTGCGCCACGATTCAGACATCAGGAGGACGTCAGTATCCGCGCATTCCACGTCGAAGTAGTCCGGGAGACTGAGTGAGAGCTTGCGTAGTCGACGAAGCGTCAGGAGGGGCCGGATGACGCCGAGAATGGATCCTTGGAAGGTATCTTGCACCGTCGGAATCATTCGCCCGACGCAAGTACCTGCAGGTGGCGGCGGGCCGAAGGTAGTGCGCACCGACAACCCCTTCAGAGACGGGTGATAGGACGCAACCTCTTGGAGACACTGGCTGGCGTCCTCTGCCATCTGATGGGCCGACGCGCCACTCTGCCAAGCTTCTAGAGATAGCTCCCGGAGTTCTGGACAGCGGATGGATCGGAGGAAGAAGTCAAGTTCTGCCCATATGCCTCCGGCCTTCAAAACGCGGAGCTGAGGGAAGGAGACATCGTCACCTATGGAGAAGATGTTATGCAAAGAGACCGAGAGGTTCTGTAGTGCAGGAAACTCGGCGATGTAGTTGAGGCCGGTCGGATTTACTTGGTAAATCACTTCGAGATGGCGCACCCGCGGGCATCGGGTATGCATGTCCTTCCAGGGTTGTTCCAATAGACGGAGCTTCTCAATGGTCGGCGCATGGTCGAAAGCCAGCACGAAAGCGGAGTATATCAAACTCTGTGTGTCCGGGTACACATTGAAGGTGAAGTCGAGCTTGGATACAGAAGGCGCTATCAGGAGAAAAGCGCTTGGAGTGAGGGCGCGCTTCGAGATGTTGCAAAAGGAGACGGACTCCAGGGAGGGGAGAAGCGGTGCTCCGTCCAGGAGAGGTAACATCTCTGTCCATAGCTCGCACCACTTGGGACCATCGAATGCGAAGAGTGTGATCGCGCGTACGTACGAGACGTACTCTCGGAAACGCTCCCATCGTGGATGCGCACGAGGGTCTTCCTGACCGTTGCGCAGGATCTAAGGAAGATGTCAGTAAGACGGTCGAACAGAGCAGAGGAATGACCATACATATGGATCGTCGTATCCACGAAGTTTCTTCCAGCGTCTCTCAATCGCCTGAGCCTCACCCCAAGGGGCCGAGGAATTGCCGCGCTCAATTGGTATCTCGAATCGAGCAGGCTCGTCTCCAATTACATCATTTCCGGCCAGTGTGCTTTCTTTCTCGGCGATTCCGAGCGAGCAAAGGAGATCGGCCAGGGGCTGGTCGTCGGGAATGCGTTTCCATAACACTTTCAAGGCAGGCCGAGTGAAGCTACGACACGCACGGGCGGCCCGTGCTAGAGCCTGACGGGCGTCGTAGAGGTTCGCGTGAGGATCGTATGGCGAATATCGCTCCGGGTCGAGGTGAGCAAAGATATGGTAGATGATGTCCGCAAAGACGAAGTTGGCTGTAGACAATGTCATTGTGGGTTTGAACGGACGGAGCAAGTACACGCCGCAGTGCGGATCGGCGCATCACTGCCACTGCGCAGCGTGGAGACCCGATCAAGTAGGAAAGGTCTTGACAGGTGACTCGAGGCCTAGGGTAAGTCGCATATTGTATCGGAGGGCGGGAGGTATTGCAGTCGTTCATCCTTTTCCCTATGAGCCGATCTACAGTGTCCTTGGGCACGAGATGGGCATGATTCTCGCAGCTGCACGTGCGATATATGCGGTGAGTATTCGTCGTATGAGGCGAACTGGAGCTAAGTTACGCACTAGCATCGTGATGGACGCTTGCAATCCACGCGTCTTCAGCCATCATCACGCTGGACAATGGACATCGCCGATGACAGAGCATCCTCGTGATGACAGAGCGCTCTCTTCTCCTCAACAAGAGTCAGAATTCGATCCCAGGGTGAGTAGAGACGCCGGGAAATCCCACGCGAAATCGTTGACGATCTTGTAGTGTACATGTACATGTCCTGTGCTCTCACAAGAACTGAGGTAGCAGCAATATAAATCTATGTAGTCCTACGTAGGAGGAGGGGTCCGGGGAAAGCGACCCGTTCTCATTTCCACAGGCTTCATCGGCGCAGACCGAAGACGCGGTCCCTTCCGGCGTCTAGAGAGCTGACCCATGGGACGACACTGAACTCCCCTGCATTTCGTGCGCATTGTACGAGTCCTTCGGTAGACGATACGTTATGGGTGCACCTATGCACATCGCCTCTCCATGAGATGCCGGGACTCCAGCTAGCTTACATATTCTCCGGAGACTTCGATTTAGGAGTTACGTTGGCTGGTGTTCCTGCGTTCGTGGCGTGCGCAGTACGTTCAGTCTGCTTGACAGTGAGCCTGTGCTGCCGCTGCCAAACCAGCTCGGTCTTCTCATCGCACAACTATATAAGAGGTCGCGAGGAGACCATTCACTCAGTCTTCGACCAACAGACACCCTCCGCTCCGTTTCCCTCCCAATAACTACTAGTTGCTCATCAGACCTCCCTTCATCATGTCCACCCCAATCGCCCTGACGCTAACGCTCTCCCCAGACAATCCGTCGAACACGACCATTTTTGACCCAGATAACAAGGTGCTCTACACCGTGCACACCACACATGATAAGGAGACCGTTACGCACGTCAAGAACGCGGAGGACAAAGAGCTCGCGTCCCTCGAGTGGCATGACGTTCTTCCCGACAAAGTCTCCGTCGGGAACAAGACGCCGACCTCCCTGCGCGACTGGCTCCATACGAGCCTCGTGCCGTTCTACCTGAAGGAGTGAGTACCATCTTTTGATGAGCGATGCAGATGCTCAGCGCTGACGGCGTGCATGCGCGGTAGTGATGCATCGTTCAAGGACGATTCTGGGCGTAAGTACAAGTGGCGCGGTAATTCTCCCGGTCATTCCCTCGAGGTCGGTATTCTGCCTTGATTCTGACCTTGCGCTTCTGACGCGCATGCGTGGTATTGGTGCAGCTCTTCGCGGAGGACGACGGCTACAAGGAGCCCATCGCGCGGTCCATCCGCTCCCTCAGGGCCCGAGACGGCGGGCTGCAGCAACCCACGCAGCTCCTGCTGACCGAGCGCGCGGTGCAGGTCCGCGATGTAGTCGTCATCTCGTTCCTCTTCCTCGAGAAAGGGCGGCGCGTGAACGAGAAGACGTCTCAGAATATGGCGGACGTTATGGCCGCCCCACCTCTTTCAGCCATGACGGGCTATGACTATAACGTGAGGGATGGTGGTGTCGGTCATTGAAGTTCCTTTCTCAAGGGTCACCTTTCTTTGCTTCCCTTACTCGTTAATAGGCAGGCTGGGAGAATATTTCGGTAATGATGGGAATGTATTGCTTCATGTGCCGCTACGTATACAACCGAAGATCCCAAGACTGCATCAATACGGTCGGACTAACTTGTGCAGTACTCTACTAGTAACACGAAGCAGAAGGAAAGCCAGAAGTCCAACGAAAGTGATGACGGCTACCCCAAAGTGTCGATAGGTTACAAGTCCGAATGGGACTCGATGTCCGACCAGTCGCTGTCGTTCCTGGCCGCCTCGAGTTCGTCCGTGCTGATGATCTCCAGTTCCTCATCGTCTCCGCCAGACGGCCTGTGCTCCTTGGGCTGGTCGTCTGCGAGGGGTGTTGACGACAGGAGGAACGTGTCCTGGCCCGCGGACGACGATGACGCCGACCGGCTCATCGGCTGTGAGGCGGGCTCGGCGGGCGTTGCGGTGCTGGCAGTGAAGAATGTCGCATCGTCTGTGGCGGATAGAGGAATTGCCTCGGAGTCGGTATCCGCAGTGAAGAAGGTTTCATCTGTAGCACTAGACGCAACTCGGGAGATGGCCTCTGGTGCCGCGAGGGCGGGTGCGGGAAGAGGAGCGGTGGCAGTAGTGTCCTCGGCATATTCGGAAGCGGGTGCAGCTACATCTTCCTCCGCGACTTCGAACCGAGTATGGGGACTGTCCTCTGGCGCGGTCGAGACTGGCGAAAGTTCCGCGTCGGATGCACGAGAGGGCGCCGTTGCCGCCTCAGCAGTAGCGGGGCTGGATTGGGGCTTGGCACCCTCGAGCTGGTCGATGGTGCCGTCGGCGAAATCGATCTCATCTGCCGGGGAGCTGGGGTCAGCGTGGATGAACTCATCGTCGGTCAGGGCGTCGATGTCTGCGCCGCTGTCGGGTACGCCTGCGGTGATACGTAAAACGCCGTCGTCGGTAGTGGCATTGATGAGTGGGGAAGATGCCGCTGCGGGCTGCGCCTCAGCGGGGGAGGGGCCTTGCTCGGGTACCTCAACCTGGTCCGTGGATCCCAGAGCTGTGTTGACTTCGACGGGGGCTACAGTCCTCGTCTCCTCGACCTCAGCAGGGGCCTTGACGACCTCCTCAGTCTCAGCCTTGTCGACGTTGTCCGTGGTGTGCAGGTTATACGGCGTAACAGTCGCCTCCCCGTCCGAAGCCTGTGAGCTTACGCTCGCGCGTCTCCGGGGGTCCCGCTCACGACTCCGCTCCCTACTCTCTTCAATCCGCCTCTCCATCGCCTCCAGCGCGCGCTCGACCTCCTTGACAACCTCTCTCCTCCTTCCCCGCACCTCATCGTCCCCAATGCTCTCCACAGCGTCCAACCGCGTCAGCAGCTGGTTCAGCGCGTGCTCGTACGCATGCACCGGAGCGTTGTTGGTGGTGTATCCCAAGGCGGACGGGGAAGGAAGCGGGTCGGAGACGAAGTCGAGCTGCGCGGGGAACTCGAACGTGGTTTCGAGCTTGCGGAGCGCGTCCTCGACCTCCTCGATCTCCGCGAGCGAGAGCTTGCGCGCCCGCCGGACGTTATAGAACTTGAGCAACTTCGCAGCGATGGCGGGCGGGAGTGCGGGGGTACGGTGTAGAGGGGCGCCCTCAGTTTCTGTTTCTCTGGTCTCGTCTTTTCCCCTTCCGGTCGCTGTCAAGGGCTCAGGCTGAGAGGTCGTGGCAGCCGTGGTGGTAGTACTTTTGATATCTACAGGTTTCGGGGCGGCAGAAACGGAAGACGTGGCAGGAGCGGGAATTGAGGATGTAGAAGGACCAGAGACAGGGATTTGAAACGACGCATGGTTGGTGCCAGAAGGGCCTGCGACGGACTGAGACGGCTCGCGGATATCAAAGAGATCTGAGTAGAGCAATACGAGCGACTGCTGTACCTCAGGATCGCTCTCCGTGCGGATGCGCGCCTCGAGCTCTTCCTTGAGCGTGGGCACCTCCGTGTGTTCGGGGGCATGCGCTAGTTTCGTCGAGATGGGCGTCGGGACCGATGCGGGAACATCAACAGCCTTGCCCTTACCCTTGCGGTCGGCAGGCGCGGGGGAAGGACTGGGGGCCGAAGCTGCAGCGGCCGCGGGGCGCGCCGTTGAGACAGTAGGCTGCAGAGATTGAAGATGAGTCATTCTGCCGCAGCTACTCAGATGACGAGCACGAATACTACACACCTGTTGCCTATTGGCCCGGGGCGTGTCTTGGGCAGACTGAGCCTGTACGAATGCAAGACCGAGCTGACTGAGAAGGGCATGGAGGACCTCCTGATCGCGGGCCTGCTGAGCACGAATACGAGCTACACGAGCTGCACGGACCTGCTCCTCGCGAGCGGCGGCTTCGGCTAGTGCGCGCTGGCGTTGAGCCTCGCGCTGACGGGCAAGGACTTCCTCGCGCTCTCGGGCGGCGGCCTCGCGTTGTTGGGAGAGGATACGCTCCTCCTGCTGCCAGACGCTGTACGCTAGCTCGAGTTCTTCAAGAGAATAAGAGGGGGCACGGCGCGGTTGGAAGGTCGGGCGTGTAGCAGGAGAGGAGCCAAATCCTTGACGGAAATCTGTTGAAGGACGGCCGTAGTGACGCCGGGGAAAGTGTCCAGGGCCACGGAACTGGTGGTGCGAGCCCAGGCGGTGACAGTAGAGCTCACGCTGGCGTTCAATAGCCTCGACACGAGCGTGGGCGAGGGCGTAGTCATGTGCGGCGCGCTGCGCTGCGCCGTCTAGGTACTGGTTCTCCAGATAGATGCCGGGGAAAGACGCGGGGCGAACAAAGACTTGACTCTGGAGAGGAGTGAAAACCAACATGGTCAAGATGTGCTCGAGGTGGTCGATGTAGTTGTAAGAAGAGTAGATGAAAGCTCACGAGGGGTAGAGACTAGTTTATATAGGCTACCGCAGCGACAATTCATAAGCATATGAACGGCATAAGAAGGACGCGTGTCCGCGACGCGCGTCCTTCCTGAGTCATCGCGAGCGGACGTGTCCCCGTCGGTGGTGGCAATGTCGAGCAGCAACTCGAAAGTCCGAGATAATCTCCTGGAAAGGAAGTGTACCGCGTAAGCTGGTTAGGCGCGCAAATGCATCCCACAATCACGTGCCTTTTTACAGCCGTCCTCGCATGCACACGCGTGAGGCACTTACTGCGCTCTCTCAGTCTTCGATGAGTACCTCAGGCTCATCGCACAAAGTATCGCGGTCGTGCCCCCCTGTGTTCTTCGCCTAAGACGTGAAATGGCCCAGAATTATAGCAGAGAGCAGAAACAAGACCTTCCAAACACTCCTGCTGACACGTAAGCAGTCTGAATGCACCATATCGAGCACTAGAAGTGAATCCTCAGATAGTGTTGTATGCTAGTAAGTCCGGCGAATAGCTTCAATCAATTTGTATACTGACTCGTCCGTCTGATAGCGGCTACAAAGCGGGTCTACGAGGCACCAGGGACGGCAATGTCAGCGACGGCGTCCGAAAGCTGATGTTTCGAATATCTCCGAGTCCAGTCATATCAATAGGTATCGGATGTTCTGCGGTACAGTTGCAGCAAATCGCCTCCATCGTGCCCGTATGTCATGACCATCTGGTGAACTGGGATACAAGGAGGTCCGGGCAGTCCGTGGCTGACTCCTGATTCCTGTGTACGATGGTAGGGCGGTTATATGGTAGACCACTGCAGATTCCCCATCCTTTTATGACCGGATACCAAGCCAAAGCTACTCAAGCTATGATCAGTAAGTTTATCTACTTGCGAATGTCACTCATATGATGGCCAATAACACGCACAAAAATAGCACGTCGATTGACCTATGCAACTACATAGCTCCCGGTCTGCTGCGGCTTGCGAGGGTTATTTTCATCATCTCAGCGCTCGGGATCGCATCATGCGATGCAATTTGGCATGAGCGTGAGATGGATGTCAGGTCCATGCCGAATACATCAACAGATCCGGTTCCATCGCTGCGGCACCGTGAAGAACAAGCAGCGTCATTCCAAAGATATTGGACTCCCGGATTGACATGCTTTGCCCCTAATCTCTTCTTCATCGCCAACTCGCCCCAGACATTCCCTCCCTCTACTGTCCTTTCTTCTTCTCCAGCGGCGGGCCACACATGCGTAATTTTCTACCCCTAGTGTTTCTTTTGCTATCATCATCCATTCTAGGGCAGAATGTCCGTGCAGTGACCGTCTACGGACTAGGAGGAGTGGAGAACCCGACTGGCACGTTTGGCTCGGGCATTCCCGCTGCCACTGTGAGCGGGTCGGACTTCATCGCTGCATATAATGCGTACAACAATGTCACCTTGACGCCTCCGGCTCTCCCCAACCCCATGCCTGCGACGTCGTTCTCCATTGCACTGCCGAATCAAGCTGCCAACATGCCCAAGCTCTCGATCCCGCACAAGGGCGATTTCTTCGGGTTCTCTATCGAGATGTCAGTGGTTCAGCAAGTTAGTGAGTATCCCTGCACTTCGACACGCCAGTGAGTCCTGAATGCTCATGGACAAATCATATGCAGTCGGCAAGAATGCGTACGTGCTGCTTTCAAATCACACCACATCCGAAAGGTGATCGGGATGTAGTTCGTTCCTTCAGCCCACATTCCTCAACCTGCTCGCCACGGTCGCCGACCGCGCGGGCAGCGTCCGAGTTCGAATTGGCGGTAACACGCAGGAAATTGCTACGCTCGTCGCCAGTCTCCCGGAAAACGCGATGATCGCAAAGGACCACAGCGTAGACGACAATGCTCCCACCCAGGTGCTGTGCCGCGTTTCGTATATTTGACATCGACCTGATCGCTGACATGCGTGCGCTTGTGCCCGACAGACGCCGACGCTGGATCTTACGGACGAGTTCTTGTATCTCTTCGCGAACGTCTCGTCGTTGGTGAACGCAAAGTGGTATCTAGGTATCCCGATGAACGACACGAGCCACCTCCGCCTGCAGATTGCCGAACATGCGGATGCTATCTTGGGTAGCAACGTCCTTGGGTACCAGGTCGGGAACGAGCCGGATCTTTACGGCCAGTGAGAGTTTACGCACGGGTTGAGACTGCAAGGCGGGTGTTGACCGCGACATTTCAGACACGGGCTCGGAGGTCGTCCGAAGACGTACAACCAGACGGACTACTTCAACGAATTCGGGACCATGGTCAACGGTATAAACAACGATCCGCAGATCGCCTCGAAGAACAAGATCGTAGCTCCCAGTCTACAGGGGACGTGGACTCCGGAGTCGCTCTGGGACATTGGCTATCTGAACACGTACTCGTCATTCCTGGACGTCATCTCCGTCGAACAGTACGTCTCATTCCTTTGAACGCACAGCATGAACTTCAACGCCACTGCCCAGCT